AAGGAATCAGATTTGAGGGAGATTTTCGGCAGACAGAGTGTGGTAATCCATTGTCTGGTGTGGAGGAAGGGAGGGAAGGGATGAATCTGGGTGGTTTTGCCTTGGGTGCTTAGGTATTGGTGGGAGGCTGTTAACTAAGATTGAGGATACAAAAGAAGAAGTAGATTTGATAATAAAAACTTTAGTTCAGTTTTGACATGGGAAGTTCAATGTTCCTGTGGAACATATGAGTAGAAATATATAGTTAGAAATGTAAGTTGGAGTGCAGGAAGAGGTGTGGATATTTGCCTGGGCCCCAGAAGCCAAGGTAATTTATAGTGTGGATGGGATTAGTCAGAACTGTTGTATAGGCCGGGCGCGGTGGCTCACGCCTGTAATCCTAGTACTCTGGGAGGCCGAGGTGGGCGGATTGCTCGAGGTCAGGAGTTCAAAACCAGCCTGAGCAAGACCCCGTCTCTATTAAAAATAGAAAGAAATTAATTGGACAACTAAAAATATATATACAAAAAATTAGCCGGGCATGGTGGCGCATGCCTGTAGTCCCAGCTACTCGGGAGGCTGAGGCAGGAGGATCGCTTGAGCCCAGGAGTTTGAGGTTGCTGTGAGCTAGGCTGAGCCATGGCACCTCACTCTACCCTGGGCAACAAAGTGAGACTCTGTCTCAAAAAAAAAAAAAGAACTGTTGTATAAAGTGAGTATCTGTGTTTGTGAATGTTAGTGTGAGGATGTGTTACTGAAAACAGCCTGATAACTCAGGCTGGAGGGAGGATGCCGACCAAAGGTACTCTCTCCTGAGATGTGACCATTGATTTCCTGAATGTTAAAAAGGAAATGTTAATCTGCTGGGAGATAAGAGGAGGAGGAAAGTTAGCTGAGTGCAACCTGTCCACCAAATGTTTATGCTTTTCTTTATTCTGATCATTGGCCAGCAGCTGCCCAGTCAGGGATTATATCTTCCAGTCACTGTTACAACTTTAGGGAGCTGTGCGACTAGTTCACCCCCAAAGTAATGAAAGAAATGATGTGTGTGACTTCCAGTCAAAGTGATTAAGATGCATTCATTTTTCTCATCTGTCTGCTTAGTGGCAGGACTTTGAGGACCTAAGGGATAGGGAGGCCACAGGTAGCAGGAAGCTGGGTTTCTGTGGTAGTCTGTTTCTTTGTGGCCCCAATGAACCATGCTTTCCAATGTTTATATCCTTGTGGCCTGGTGGTCTGGGTTGGCCCTGTGACTTGCTTTAACTGGGAGAATGCAAGACACAGGACACTGTGCTAAACCTTAAGAAGGTTGCCGCTGTGGTACTCTTAGAAGCTAGTCACCGGATAAGAAATACGACTCTTAAGATGACGATGTGGTGAAGAGGCCGCAGTGGCTCTGTGGAACAGGACGGAGGCTCTGATGGCAAGCCCAGCTGTGCTTTCAGTCAGCAGCCAGTACCGAGTGCCCCTGCTGATGCCGTATGAGAGTGGTGATAAATAGTGAATACATTTTTGTTTTAAGCCGACATGTTTTGGGCCGGTATGTTAAACAGGAATAGATAATCACAACAGTTCCTGGATGATTGTGAGGCAGAAAACCATTCATTGAAAAGACAGTTCTTTCCTGTAGTTTTTCCCTATGGAATTGTCTTGGCACTCATGTTGAAAATCAATTGACCATAAACATGTGGGTTTGTTTCTGGATCCTTTATTCCATTGATCTCTCTATCTGTTCTCATGCCAATAACACACTGTCTTGATTACTGTAGCTTCGTAGTAAGTTTTGAAATTGAGAAGTGTGAGTTCTTTAACTTTGTTCTTTGTCAAGATTGTTTTGGCTGTTTGGGGTCCTTTTCATTTTCATATGATTTTGAGGATCAGCTTGTCAATTTCTACCAAAAAAAATCCGTCTAGGATATTGAATCTATAGGTCATTTTAGGGAATACTGACATCTTAACAATATTAAGTCTTTAGATGCATGAACATGATATGTCTGTTTTATGTTCTCTCATTTCTTTTAACAGGGTAGTTTTTTTTTTTTTTTGAGACAGAGTCTCGCTTTGTTGCCCAGGCTAGAGTGAGTGCCGTGGCGCAGCCTAGCTCACAGCAACCTCAAACTCCTGGCTCAGGTGATCCTTCTGCTCCAGCCTCCCTGGTAGCTGGGACTACAGGCATGTGCCACCATGCCCGGCTAATTTTTATATATATATCAGTTGCCAATTAATTTCTTTCTATTTATAGTAGAGACGGGGTCTCGCTCTTGCTCAGGCTGGTTTTGAACTCCTGACCTTGAGCAATCCGCCCGCCTCGGCCTCCCAAGAGCTAGGATTACAGGCGTGAGCCACAGCGCCCGGCCTTAACAGGGTAGTTTTCAGTGTATCAGTTTTATATTTCTTTTTAAAAATTTATTAAGCATTTTATTTTTTTAATTTTAATTTTAATTTTTTGAGACTGAGTCTCACTATGTTGTCTGGGCTAGAGTGCCGTGGCATCAGCCTAGCTCACAGCAACCTCAAACTCCTGGGGCTCAAGCAATCCTTCTGCCTTTGCCTCCCAAGTAGCTGGGACTACAGGCATTCGCCACCATGCCCAGCTAATTTTTTCTGTATATTTTAGTGGGCCAATTACTTTCTTTCTATTTTTAGTAGAGATGGGGTCTTGTTCTTGCTCAGGCTGGTTTCAAACTTCTGAGCTCAAACGATCCGCCCACCTCGGCCTCCCATGGTTCTAGGATTACAGGCGTGAGCCACCGCATTCGGCCCAAGCATTTTATTTTTTGATGCTATTGTAAATGGAATTGTTTTCTTAATTTCGTTTTGGTTCATTGCTGATGTATAGAAATGCAGTTGGTTTTCCTATATTAATCTTATATTCTGCATCCCTGTTGAACTTCATCATTAGTTTTGATAGCCTTTTAGTGGATTCCTTAAGATTTTCTATATACAAGATCATGTCATTTGTAAATAGAGATAGTTTTGTTTCTTGCCTCCCCACCTGAATTGCCTTTTCTTTTCTTTTTCCTAATTGCCCTGGCTAGAACCTCCAGTACAATATCAAATAGAAGTGGTGAGAGTGGACATACTTTCATTTTTCCTGATCTTAGGGGAAAATATCTAATTTTTTCACCAATGAGTATAATGTTAGTTGTGAGTTTTTTGTAGATGCTCTTTATTAAGTTGAGAAGTTGAGTATTTTTATCTGGAAGGGTATTGGCTTTTCTCTGATTATTGAGATGATCATGTAGCTTTTGTTTTATTTACATTTATATGAGCTTTTCCATTCTTGATCTTGAAGTAAGTGCCATGTAATCCAGAGCTTAAAGATAGACATAAGTGGTAATCAGCATTTGAATAAATTGCAGAAGTCTTGGGGGTAGATAAGATTACCCAGAGAGAGAATATAGAAAGAGAAGAAGGCCAAAGATAGAACTTTGAGAAATGTAAACATTCAGTCTATCATGTGCAGTGCTAAATTCTATTTCATTTGAGTTAATAAATTTCATGAAAACTTGACCTAAGGTAGCAGATTGTGATTTTTGCTTTACCATGTAACTATGCTGCTATCTGCAGTTATTGATGTATCTTAAGAATCTCTGGTAACACTGGAAGTTTTTATTCCCTTTATTTAATTGCATGTATATGGGCTAAACCCTGGAGAGTAGAAGTATGTAAGGTGAAGGGAAAGGAAAAGAACCAGCATGATTTTTTCTTTTTGAAATGTACATGTCAAGTAAATAGTAGAAGGACTTCAAACTTTGTGAACACTCCTTGTTCCATAAATTGACTATTGTAACAGTACTCTTAGATGTTGGAATTTACCCTTTCTCTACTAGAAGGAATGTTTCTGTGAAAATAGAAAACAACTTATGGGAAATTTTTTTTCATACAATTAATTAGTATTCCTTTGTAAGGAACCCAAAGCATGTACAATACTCAGCAACCATAAATCTCTGACTTTGTATTGAGAAGTAGAACTAGATAGTGCTTTCTGTTCTCGTTCATTTTTGCTTTGATGTTATATTAATAAACCAATTAAATAATATGATTGGTAAATCAGTTTGTGAGATGTTTGTTTCCTGACATTTTGTTTCTGGTTTGAACTACATTGTTAGAATTATCCAAAATCATATGAATAATCTGACAGGAATAATATTTTATTTGAGGCAGAAAGGGATAGAATATTGACTGACACTAGGAATTCTAAAATTAATAGAAAGTGGGAAAACCACAATATGTGCCCTCAACTTGTAAATTATCTTAAGACATATTACAGGAGCTAATGTATGTGTTTGGATGATCATAACCCAAATATACAGCAGGGTTCTTAAAAGGCAAATCAGCATAGCTGTGTATAATAGGGAGAGACATATTTAGATAACTACAAACTATTTTTGCTGTTTAACTTTAAACATGTAAGATATATTTAGAATGAAATCCACAGGAAAAATGTTTGCTGATTTAGCCATTTTTAAGACATGTTTCCAATTAGTCCTTAAAAAACTATAGCCCTTAAAAATTTGGAGAACTAATTCATTACTATCATAAAGTAGATAAAAATAAAATGGTATTCATAAGGAAATAAAAGGAAAGGATAAATGTTCAGGTACTAAGTTTATAATTAAATACTTCATGTCTTCTAAACTCTATACAGTCATCAAAAATACTCTGAATTTGAAATTTTAATAGTTGATGAGTTTTAAAGTCGCATAAGTCTACAGACAGTGATAGTATATATAATACATATAGTCAAGTATTTGACTTTCAGAAAATGATAATGAACTTTAGTAGATAATACCATTGGCAAATGTAATATACATAGCTTTTCCTTATCACATGTATACATTATGATGTCTAATAACAGCTTGAAAATACTTTATGTTACAGAATTTACATTTCTTTAACATTTTTCTTGATGTAGGAAAAAAAACCAAACATTTTTAGAAAGATGTTAACTTGTGTTCACTGAATGTATATATATCCGAATGTGAAAAATTGTTGGGTTTCTGTTCTTATTACTGCAGGAAGCATATGTGCCTCATTTCTTACCCAAAGTTACCAACTGCCAGTTCTTGATACAATGTTTCTAAGAAAGAAATACCGAGGTAAAGATTTTGGGCTTCATATGCTGGAAGACTTTGTTGATTCCTTTACAGAAGATGCGCTGGGCTTGCGATATCCTCTGTCTTCTCTCATGTATACAGGTAAACGGTCTAAGTTAAAAACTGTTAAACTTGTCTCAGTATTACTTCTGACTTGTTTCTCCACAATATTGTAATTGTGTATATATCAAAATTGAGTAAATTTCACCTGGACATGGTGGCTCATGCTGAGGCTGGAGAATCACTTGAGTCTAGGAGTTGGAGACCAGCCTGGGCAATATTGTGTGACCCTGTCGCTAAAAAAAATTAAAATAATTTTGAAATTAAAAAAAATAAAGTAAATTTGGAATCTTTGGCTCTTTAGGACTTAATTTTGCAAATGTGCCCTTATCTAATAATGTATCTGGCTTTTTGGGGGTGTGGTAGCTTTTTAAAAATTTAGATATAATTTACATACCATAAAATTCACCCTGTTAAAATGTGTAATTCAGTGGTTTTTAGTGTACTCACAGTTGTGCAAGCATGGCCACTAATTCGAGAACATTCTCATCACCCTGAAAAAGAAACCCTGTACTGATTAACAGTCACCATTATTCACCATTCCATCCTTCCTCCAACCCCTGGAACCACTAAGCTATATTCTCTATGGATTTACACATTCTGAATGTTTCATGTAAATGGAATCATACAGCATGTGGCCTTTTGTGTCTGACTTCTTTCACTTAGAATGTTTTCAAAGTTCATACATATTTATAGCATGAATTAGTACTTCATTTCTTTTTATGACTGAATAATATTCTATTGTATGGATATATTACATTTTGTTCCAAAGTGATTATACCATTTTATATTCCCATAAACAACATATGAGGGTTGCAGTTTCTTCACATCTTTGCCAGCATTTTTTATCTGTATTTTTTATTATAGCCATCCTAGTGGATGTGAAGTGGCATCTCAGCATAGTTTTGATTTGCATTTGATGTTCAGCATCTTTTTGTATGCTATTGGCCATTTGTGTATCTTCTTTGGAGAAATGTCTATTCAGATCTTTTGTCCATTTTTTTTCTTTTGGTTATTTGTGGTAGCATTTTAAATTAACAATGACCAAAAATGTTTCAAACATACAAAAAGGTATAAAGAATGAGATAATTAATACTCATATACTGTTCATGACAAATGGATTGTTACCAGTACAGTTGAAGCGTCCTATGTACTCCTATACAGTTCCACTCCCTTCCCTGGGATAAGGACCCATCCCCATTTGACATTTATTTTTCCCATGCATTTTTTAGACTTTTTTTTTTTTTGAGACAGAGTTTCACTCTGTGCCCAGGCTAGAGTAAGTGCCGTGGTGTCCGCCTAGCTCACAGCAACCTCAAACTCCTGGGCTCAAGCAGTCCTACTGCCTCAGCCTCCCAAGTAGCTGGGACTACAGGCATGTGCCACCATGCCCGGCTAATTTTTTCTATATATATTTTTAGTTGGCCAAATTAATTTATTTCTGTTTTTAGTAGAGACGGGGTCTCGCTCTTGCTCAGGCTAGTTTCGAACTCCTGACCTCGAGCAATCTGCCTGCCTCAGCCTCCCAGAGTGCTAGGAGTACAGGCGTGAGCCACCACACCCGGCCTCATCTTTTAGACTTTTAATACATTATGTGTGTATCCTCAAATGATATATTTTTTTCATATTTAAAAACTATATAAATTGTACTGTATGAATTCTTCTGTGTTCTGCTTGCTTTACCCAATCTTTATGTTTGTGAGATTCATCCATGTGGATTCATGTAGTTCTAGGCGTCAATTTTTAGTGCTTTGTAGTATTCCATTGATGGATATACCATTGGCGATGTTTTTAAAACCATTAGTGGATTTATTTTTCCATTTATATAAAGATCATACAACTCCTTTTTTCTTCATGAAGTAAGATTTAATCCAAGGAAATAATTAATTTGGAAACTTTTATAAAATTTATTATTTATTTCAATCTAGCATTAGGCGTTTATTTCCACAGAAAATATGTTTTTATTCTAAGTCCTTCCTGTTTAATATAAAAAGTGGTCTAGAAAACAGTATTGCATGCCCACTTTGGATCATATGATGGACGTTATATGCCCTTGGATAATCCTAAAAAAAATTACCCCTAATTACTGCAGAATAATTGCCCCTATTTACCTACCTAAATAATTACCCCTAATTATTTACAGAATTTGGGGAGGAATGCAGAGACATCCATTGCAGGCAGAATCCCTTAATACTTACTTTCTTCTATGAATCTAATGATAATTGAATACCAAATGAATTACAGATGGGTATCAGCTGTCTATCTTTTCATTAAGTCTCGATGGTCTGAAACTCTTTATTTTTCCTTCAATTCATATGGAAGATTCCCTGACAATGTTTTATTGATGCCATCTATGTGATTTTATGAATAGAACTCTGAAATGTGAAAATAATTGAATATATTGAGAACAGAAATTTTAATAGTCCTGTTTCAAACTATGTGGCTTCTCTATCACTTTCTGTTTCTAGCCTATTCTTGGAAGAATACAGTGCTTATTAGATTTGAAGGGCTTGGATTTCTATCTGATTTTCTCTACCAACTTAATAAATAGTTCCTTGATGTTCTGTATGTGTAATGATTCCTTGATGACCTTCGCTTGTTTCCAATAATACTTTTGAACATTTTAGGAAAGATTATAGTGTTTTACTTTGCAAGCTTTAAAAAAATAGATAAAATTTCTTCATTTCACAAATAGGTAATGAATGCCAAGTATGGATGGGCTTGGTTTCAGGCTAGAGTAGATAATTAGCTAAATATGAGTACTTGGTTTACATAGCAAACTTGTATAAATAATTAGCTAAATATGAGTACTTGGTTTACATAGCAGTACTTGGTTTACATAGCAAACCATACACTATCTCTACTGTCTTACTGTCTCTAGGTATACTATATTGCATGTATACCTAGAAACAGGGAATAAATAAGGTCAAGGTTCTCTGTAACTCAGCTCTAGTGTAATTTTGCATGTTGAAGTATTTCTGCCCCAAACAGGGTCCCTGACTTTTCACCAATTAAAAAAATTTTTTCATCAACACTTGCTAAGATTATTATTTAAATTTGAGTGATAACAGTACAAATTAGAATATGTATCAACAGAAAATGGGGGCACTTTGCATAAATTTGAGAGACAGTGATACAAGAATGTTCTTGTTACATATCCAAAACTTACCTTTATCAGTCTTATTTTTAATTTAACAATGATTTTTGTTTTTTATTCACTTTCCTTTATTTTTAAAGTTTTGTTTTTAATATTTATTTTGGTGACATTTGATGCTATTAATATTGAATTATTTTCACTGAATAGGTAGTACAATCACAAATTCCTTGTTTCTTTATTTTTAGGGGTTGGGGGGGCTGTGAGGTGGGGTATTCAGTTGCCTTGTTTGTTTTTGTTGAAACTGAGTCTCAACTCTATTGCTCTGGGAAGAGTGCAGTGGCATCATTGTAGCTCACTGCAACCTCCAACTCATGGGCTCCAAGCAATCCTTCTGCCTCAGTCTTTCAAATAGCTGGGACTACAGGCTCCTGCTGCAATGTCTGGCTGAGTTCTTTTCTTTTTTTCCTTACTTTTTGGTAGAGAAGGGGGTCTCAATTTTGCTCAGGTTAGTCTGAAACTCCTGACCTCAAGCAATCCTCCCACCTTGGCCTCCCAGAGTGCTAGAATTACAGGCGTGAGCCACTGTGCCCTGCCAACAAATTCAAAAGATATAAAAAGGTTTCAGTCTCTCATTTTGTCCCTTTGGCCACCTTCTTTCTGTTCCTGAGGCAAATAATGTTATTAGTTTCTTATGTATCATTCCAGACATACTTTATGTATATGCAAACAAAATACATATTTCCTTTTTCTTCCTTTTCTACAGAAATGTTACACTTTATACATTAAACCTTTTTTTATTCACTTAATATATTTAATTCCACATCAGTGTGTAAAGACCTTCCTTTTTTTTTCTTTAACATGGTATGGGCCATTCTTTTTTACATACTAGGTTACAAATGGATACTATAACTTTTTTTTTGTGAGTCTCACTCTTTTGCCCAGGATAGAGTGCCATGGTGTCAGCCTAGCTCACAGCAACCTCACACTCCTGGGCTCAAGCAATCCTTCTGCCTAAGCCTCCTGAGTAGCTGGGACTACAGGCATGCACCACCATGCCCGGCTCATTTTTTCTATATATTTTTAGTTGTCCAATTAATTTCTTTCTATTTTTAATAGAGACGGGGTCTTGCTCAGGCTGGTTTTGAACTCCTGAGCTCCAACAATCCACCCGCCTCGGCCTCCCAGAGAGCTAGGATTACAGGTGTGAGCCACCGCGCCCGGCCCATCAAATATTTTTGATATTTCTTAACATAATAGGTAAAAAGTGTTATTGGGATAGCATCTTAAAAATCCACTTTATTAAGTTATAATTTATATACAATAGTGTTCTTACTTTAAGTGTACATTTTGATGACTTCTGACATATGTATAAACCCTTGGTATCATAGACGGCATTTAAATGTACAGTACTTTCATTGTTCCCCAAAGTTCCCTTTGTCCCTCAGTCTCCTAGCTTCCTTCCCCTCCAAACTCCTGGCTCCAGGCAAGCACTGATCTGCTTTCTTTTAGTACAGATTAGATTTTTCTTTTCTAGAGAGTCATAAAAAAATGGAAGTATACAGTCTATATACTTATTCATTGATATATGTACTTCATTCCATTTTTATTGTTGAGTATTCCTCATTTGTATGGCTATAGTACAGTTTGTTTATTTGCCTGTTGATAAACGTTTGGTTTCTTTCCCTTTTTTGGCTATAGTGAATAAGGCTACATGAAAATATCTTTGTATGGACATATGTTGTCATTTCTTTGGAGCAAATACATAGGTTTTCTTTGGGATAATTTTGTTTTTAGAACTCAAATTTAGAAATTCTTTATATTCTCTGAGTACTAATCCTTTGTTGTATTCTAAATTTCTCCCAATCTGTGTCTTTCTGGTATCATTTTCATATAAAGATATGCAGTCCAGTATAGCAGCCACTAATTTAAATTTAAACTTATATTTAAGTTTAATATTAAATAGAATTATAAGTTCCCTTTCTCAGTAGCCACATGTGGCTAGTGGCTACTGTATTGGACAGTGCTGCTCCGATATAGGACACAGTTCCGTATGGCACAGAAAGTTCTGTTGCATAGTCCTGATATAAAAGGTTTTAAATTTAGTCAAGTTTGTCATAATTTTTCATTATAGACTGTGATTTTTTTTAGTCTTTTTTTGAATGATATTGATGTGAGGTATGAGATCTGACTTTATTTTTTTCTATATGGATTTTTATTACAGCACTCTTATTTTAATAGTTTATCCATTTTCTTTTGGAATGTAATGCTCCTTTGTCATTTGCCAAGTTCTAACGTATGTGTGATTATTCCTGGTGGGGCATTTTTAAATTTTTTTTGGTATTTTCTATTTCCTCCCTTGTTTATATATCCATATGTCAAGACCAGATTGTTTTAATTACTGTGGTTTTTATAACTATTTTTTATAACTACTTGACAAGTCTTTTTTCTTATTTTGCTTCTTAGAACTGACCTGCCTATTCTTTTCCTTTTTTTATATTTTTAAAAATTGATATATAATAATTGGAACATAAGCGAATATTTTTTTGGTATCCTTTGTTCTTTCATTTTGACTTTGGGATCAAGTTTTGTAAAGTGTCATTAAAAAAATCTGTTGGAATTTTATTTGGAATTGCATGGAATTTATAGGTTAATTTGATGAGAATTGGGTGTTTTGTTATGTTTGTTTTTTTATTTATTTATGACAGAGTCTTACTGCGTGTGCCTCAGGCTAGCAGTGGCTGTGGCGTCGAGCGCTAGCTCACGGCAACCTCAAACTCCTGGGCCCTCAAGCATCCCCCTCTCTGCAGCTCAGCTGCTGAGTAGCTGTGCGCTACAGGCATGAACCACTTGTGCACCGGCTTAATTTTTGATATACATATTTTTTAGTTGTCAAGATTATTTTTTAGTAGGAGGATGGGGTCTCACCTCTTTGCTCCCAGGCTGGTTTTGAACTCCTGACCTTGAGCGATCCTTCCGCCTTGGCCTCCCCCCAATTGTGCTCCATGCATCGGATCTACATGGGTGAGGCAACGGGCGCGAACTGGCTGAGAATTGGTGTTTTTATGCTGTTGAGTCTGACAGTCTTTTTATTCATTTCTTCCATTATGTCCTTCAGTAACATTTAATAATTTTGTTAAAGTTAAAGCAGATTTTTATTAGGCTTTTTATTGTTTGGTCATGCTAAAACTCTCATTTAGCATTTTATTAAGAATTTTTATTCATAAATGAGCCCGGCATGGTGGCTTACGCCTGTAATCCTAGCACTCTGGGAGGCCGAGGTGGACTGGAGTTTGAAACCCGCCGAGTGAGAGCGCAGGACCCCTGTCTCTATTGTAAATAGAAAGAAATTAATTGGCCAACTAAAAAATATATAGAAAACATTAGCCGGGTGCATTGGTGGCACATGCCTGGCTAGTTCCACCAGCCTACTGCTGGAGGCTCGAAGCAGAAAGGATTGCTTGAGCTGCAGGGAGTTTGAAGGTTACTGTGAGTGAGGCTGATGCACACAGGCACTCCACTCGTAGCCTGGGAACAAAGCGGAGGGACTCTTTCTCAAAAAAACCAAAACCAAAACAGGATGTTTTATTCATAAATGAGCGCCAGCACAGTGGCTCACGCGGCGGAAGTGACCAGATAAAGCACGGT